CAGTCATAGTACATGTTTGTCAAACAACACCTGTATCCCAATGACACGCCAACCCTATAGTAGTACATGCTTATATGTTTCTGCATATGTTAAATTTAGTCTTTAAAATAAGTGACATTGGTCTTCTAAACAGGGACAGCAAAGTGAAGCTGTTGAGCACCTTGCTGGGGGGCAGGGCAGTTTGAGAAGCCAGGCAACTGTGCTTGCCTTGACAACTCCATTGACAACAGTTTCGTCTCCCAGTCCTTCCCTCTTTCTATCCCATTTTTGAGCACTTTGGAGATGAGAGAGGAAAGACGTGAAGGAGGAGTGTGTTAACTTGTCATTACATAAGAGAATACTGGAGATAGTCAAGTTACAAAGAGCTAAGGTTTAGGGCTGGAGAGGTGGCTCAGAGGTTAAGAGCACTGACTGCTCGCCCAGAGGTCCTGAGTTCAATTCCCAGCACCTGCCTGGTGACTCACAACCACCTGTGATGAAATCTGGTGGCCTCTTCTGGCCTGCAGGCACACATGCAGGCAGAACACTGTATACATAGTAAATAAATCTTAAAGAAAAAAAAAGAGCTAAGGTTTATTTGGGCTCACAAAATTCGGTAGCCTCAGCTCATGAGTGATAGGCTCCCTTCCCTTGAGCCGATGGAGAGGTAGTATATTATGGCTAGGGACATGTAATAAGAGCAAAAAGTCACTCTTCCATGATATGCAAAGGGAGAGATGGAGAGACTGTGGCTCCCTTCAAGGGCACGCCCTTAGTGACATAAAGCCACCGCACAACAGTCGCCACACCTTTAACACATAACGTTTTGGGGGGGCAAACTGTATCAAGAAGAAAGTATTTCTTTCTTGCATTTATGGTCAGGAGACAGGTTCTATTGACGGGAAACAATGGAGACTAACGAGACATTGGTCATTTTGGACCACATCTCAGGGAGCTCATGACAGACCATTGTAACGCCTCCAGCCTCTTAATCCCAGCCTCTAGCCTCACCTCTCCAGAGGCAACCTAGCTTGTGTCTTCTCTGTGTTGTCTGTCACCTTGCCAGCCCTCATCCCACTCAGCCACGGTTCCCCGTGCATTTAAAAGATGTTTTTGTGCTTATGAATTATTAGTATTATTATTACATATTATTTATGCCTGTGAGTACATGCCACATGTGGAGGCGTGCCCGTGAAGTCACAAGAAGGTGTTGCATCTGCTGGAGCTGGAGTTACAGACAGCAATGAGCCACCAAGTGTAGGTGCTGGGAATCAAACTTGGGCCTCTAAAAGAGGGGCAAGGGCTCTTAACCACTGAGCCATCTCCAGCCCAGCATAGTTTATTTTAACCACCTAATTAATAGAATTCCACTTCCTATGATGACAAAGGTACATCCAGAACATAGGTTTAACCAGACTTATTTAGACACAAGAACAAGATGAGTCATACATATCTTGAGGGATCATCTAGAAACACTGGACTTTAAACAAACATTCTAGAAAGAGCCCCCCTCCAAGGCTAGGTGTGTATTCCCAGCACTCAGGAAGCTGAGGCAGGAGGACCATTGCAAGTTTAAGTCCAGCTTGGGCTACATAGTGACATACTATCTCCAAGGAAGGCCAATGAGACTCTCCTTGCTCTTTATATGGTGACTATAAAATTTAAAAATCCAGTCTAATGGTCTATAACACGTAGAGCAGTTAGAGATGTTTTAGTTCACAAAGCTAGCACAGCCCCTGGGTCTTGGTTCTTCTCCCTTCTCCCACAAACCCCATGATCTTTCCCAGGTGACTCACTACCACATAGGGCATTTTTCTCTAAGTTTAGATTAACTGGCCATGTGTGGCAACCAGCTTGATCTAGATACCAAGTTCCAGGCCAGCCAAGGTCCCATAGTAAGACCCTAACTCAATAATGAAACACAAGAACAATTTATCTTCCCAAAGTGACATCCTCCTCCTGTTGCTATTCAAATGCCAAAGAAAGGAACTGGAGAGATAACTCAGTGGTTATGAATGATTGCTGCTCTTCCTGAGGACCTGAGTTCAATTCCCAGTACCCACATGGCAGCTCACAGCTGTCTGTAACTCCAGTCCCAGAGGATCTGATGCCTTCTTCTGGCTCCCATGAAATCCAAGCATGCACATAGAGCATAGACATACCCATGGTGGGGGAGGGGGCGATGACAACACATCATTACATACACACAAATGGAAGTATTTTATGCAAATTTATTCTACAGAATTTTCAAAGATTCTAACTCAATAACGTTTTTCAATATATGCACATAATTAGAGGATTAAAGAGCATAACACCCATTTGTCAAAGCTCATCAAATAATCTTCTTGCTTAAATGGAAACAGAAACTGGTTATGATATAACAAATAAGTTCATCTTACATTCCTGTCTCCTTGCCACCCTAGCCCTCCCTCAGCTATAGCTTTCGTGAGTGTGGAGAATGGGGCAGGGCGAATCCTTCTGGAAATATCACGTACACACATGCATTCACAATCTCTCCTGAAGACACATGGCAGCATGTGGGACACTGTTTTCTTTGTTTATCCCACTTTGTAACGTTGAGTGAATGTGTACACGAATGGTATCTGTGTATGTGTGTCCGTGCATGTGCAGGTGTCTTCCTCTACTGAGTTCTACCTTGCTTTTTGAGAACGGATCCCTCACCAACCCTGGGACTCACCAACTGGGCAAGTCTAGCTTGCCAGCCCAGCAAGCTGCCTGCCCAGTTCCCCAGCTCTGGTATAACATGTGTGCATCATTCCTCCTAGATTCTGCATGGGTGATGGAGATCTGAATTCAGGTCCTCATGCTTGTTTGACAAGTCTCCTCAACCACTCATCTCTTCTTAATTAAAAAAATTATTGTGTGTGTGTGTGTGTGCACATGTACATGCCCAGGCACAAGAGTGGAGGCCAGAGGACAACCTTCAGGAGTCAGTTCTCACATTCTACAGGACCAAACTCAAGTCATCAGCCTTGGTCGTCAGTGCTTTTATCCATTAAGCCACCTTGCTGGCTGCTCATCCTCTAATACACTTAGGAGATGGTTCCAGATCAACATGGCTAGTGCTTTCTCCTTCTTTGGATAGACACTATATATGTATAACATGTATATTATGTATGTATGTGTATATATATATATATATATATATCCCAGTGTGTGTGTGTGTGTGTGTGTGTGTGTGTGTGTGTGTGCGTAGGTAAGTAGACATGTGTGTGACATATGTGTGTGAAGGTCTAAGGACAACTCTTGGGAGTCAGTTCTTCTTCCTTGTTGAGTCAGTGTCTATCTGAGAATCTGGAAAAAAAAAAGGTCTGCATTAGCTACAGAGTGACAGTGTGGCTCACACAGACCTGATCCCCAAGTATCTAGTCATTAGGAATAATGTCACATGGAATAGTTTCACTCTTGATAAAAATGGCCTGAACTTTGGACTTCATTCAAAAGGTCTCTTAGTTACTGTTCTGTTGCTGTGAAGAGACCCCATGACCAAGGCAACTCTTATAAAAAGAAAGCATGTAACTGGGGACTTACCAGTTTCAGAGGGTGAGTCCATTATCAGCATGGTAGGGAGCATGGTGGTATGTAGGCGGGTGGTGGAGCAATAGCTGGGAGTGTTCCATTCTGATCCTCAGGCAGCAGGCAGAGAGAGAGAGAGAGAGAGACAGAGACAGAGACAGAGACAGAGACAGAGACAGAGGCAGAGAGACAGAGACAGACAGACAGACAGACAAAGACAGAGACAGAGAGACAGAAACTAGTCCTCATGGTGGGCTTTTGAAACCTCAAAACCACAAGAACACACCTCCAATAACAAGGCCACACCCCCTCCTACAAGGCCACACCTCTTAATCCTTCCGAAACAATCCACTAACCAAAGACCAAGCATTCAAACATATGAGCCTATGGGGGCTATTTTCATTCGAACCACCACAGAAGGGATGTGTGCGTGTAGAATTCCCATCATGCTTTCTCTTAGAGTTCAGACCTTCTGAGGAATCTCAATGCCTTCCTAGCGTTGAAGTCAGGGGTTCTCTCTGTGTCCCTCTCGCTGGCATTGTGTATGCTTTCTTTCTTGCACATCTGACTAAGGCCTCTCCTATTTTTTCTTTGAGCCTTGATTGTAGCAGTTAACACAGCCTTGTACCCTTTGCCTGTTATACATGAAGGTAGCTCTCCAAGGCTTTTACATTCACTTAATTAAAATCCCAGTATCAAGTGATTCCAGGGGTTTACATTGGCCCTCTTACCTTCCTCAGTCACTTTTCTCTTACAGACCCTTCCTGGTTAGCATTCTTAAAAAAACAAAAACAAAAACAAAAAAACAAACAACAACAAAAAACCCAGTGACATCTTAGCAACAGCTTAGCCAATAATTTAAAAAGTGTAAAATAAATGTTTGATGTCCAGCACCGTGGAATTAAACTCAGCTTGACATGCCACATTTCACAGCCCCAAAGTTGTAGCTAACATTCTCTCAAAATGAACAGGAATGGCTCAAGTTTCCAGAGGTTTACTATTCACTTTTTGTTTGTATTTTCCTTTGAGTTGGAATTATTCTAACAGCTAACCATTGAGTCTGACTGTATGCTCTATTTGCTGCCTGGGAAGTAGCAAAGAATACGTAATGTGTCATTGTGTCATAGTCCCCCAACCCCCCTGCATGCCTAAGCCACAGTACGGCTAATACCACACAGTTCGTTGCCCAGACATGCAGCTACGGCTACACATTGCCACATCTCTTATATGTCTACAATTCCCCGCTCGTAGTGACAGTAAACCCACCGGACTCCAGCAACTGCTGAATGCTGGCAGCCTCTCACTGCAAAGCCCTGTCACCCACCTTCCAGAAAATACAGGCTGGCTGGCAAGGAGGCTAATTTGGGAGTTTGTGCCTAGGGGAACGTGGCTCCCTTGGCCTTTTAAAGCCAAGTTGGATGATGTAAGCAAGCAGGACTGAAAAAGGAAAGAGAAACCTTGTCAGCTGCATTATTTGCAGGGGACTGGGCTGAGGCTAGGCAGAGAGGATGGTCTGCCACCTGTGCAGAGCCCAGCTCCCTGCACCCCCACTGCCTCCCCAGCACAGGGAAGAAGGAATGACCACACAAGAGAATCTGAAGCAGAGCCATGTGAGGATGCGGTGACCATATTCATCTACTTATATAATATCCAGGCAGGCACATTAATGTTTTGTTTATTTATTTTTATTCCTGGGGGCGGACAGCATGCCATGGCGCACACATGGAGGACAGAGTTCTGGAGCTGGTCCTTGCCTCTCACCTTTTGAAGTAGCCCCTTTCCTTTCTGATGCTGCTCTCCGGACTCCAGACTTGCTGTCCAGTGAGCTCCTGCCTCATTCTCCATCTGCCTCCCTGCTCAAGGTTGGAGCGCGGGACCGCAAGTGAGTTCCATTGCATCTAGTTTTCACAGGGGCTCTGGGGACCCAGCACAGATCATTAGACCCACCGGCAAGTACTTTTACACAGCAAGTAATCTCCCTGACCTATATTTGTTGTTTGATTAGATTTTCTCTTGCAGCTGTCTCCCTGCTTAGCGGATCTCTGCTTAGATAAGCACGCAAGACCTGGTCCAGTTTGCACTGACTGGGACGTCACAGGAAAGATGGGCTGTGTCTGGGTCCCCATTTTTCTTCCTTCTCTGGAAGTGTGTGGTCCCAATAAACGCAAGTGAAATTTTGCAGGCCGTTTCGCAGCGTGAGCAAATGTTGTGGCTTAGGAAATGACGCTGAGACACTTGAAAACTGCAAGATGGTCTTGACACAGCATTGGTACAGGATATGTGAGGGGAAGTGGCATGGTGAGCAGTGATAACGGTCCCCGTGGTCAGACCAAGTGCCGGTTTCACACCCAGCCTGTATCCCCACAGCAGAAGAGGACTCTGCCCAGAGACCAGAGCCTCATTACACAGCATAGTGGGGCAGGGCAGAAATCTGTCTGCTGCTGGCGTGGCGGGGTTGGGGAGCGGGTGAGCCCAGTGGGCTACCAACACACACACACCGCACTTGCCACAAGATGTTCTGCTTGCTTGGTTTTGGCTTCGCTCACACCTACTTCCCCAAGCTCCTCCAGGGAATGGAGCTGGCTTTGGGACAAAACAGGATTCAGCGTTTGTCTGTAGTGTCTCCCTGGGAAAGGCTGTGAATGCCACACACACAGGAGCCCATCCAAGGTCACTGGTGACCGCTGTTAGTGACAGGGAGTTACTAAGACCAGAGTGCCAGTTTCCGGGGATCCGCCCAGTGCCACAGAACCTGCAGCCGCCTGCTTAGGAGGTGTCTTTTCTTCCAGATGGCCATCTTGGGTTGCCCACTGCGGTGGCACTCTTAAAACAAATTCTAGGGGACTGGAGAGAAGGCTCAGTGTTTAACAGCACTGGCTGTTCTGGCAAAGGACCTGGGTTCAGTTCCCAGGGCCCACACGGAGGCTCTCAGTCACCTGAATTCCAGTTCCAGGGGTCTGATGCCCTCTTCTGGCCTCTGCAGGCGCTGGCAGAGTGCCTGTATAGTGCACACACACACACACACACACACACACACACACACACACACACACATACACACACACACACACAGGAAAACATACACACAAAATAATATAAATAAATTCTGAGTAAATTCTGAACACACAAAAAGGAGCTTTTCAACTTGAGAGTGTTCTGTGTCAGGGTCACCTGGATGCCCTCTTTCAGATAATGGCATTACCCCAGGCTTCAGGTCTCTCCATTATTTCAGCAGCTCTGTTCTGAAAGAGACCTTTGTCACAGTGGGGAGGGGGCACATGATGACATGGGTTCAGAAGGGTTGTCCTATTCTGTTCGTTTATTATGCAGAAATCTTCCTTTAAGGAATAAGAAGACAGCCCTTAATATTATTTTGCTTTTTTTTCATGTTGTTGTTGTTTTTTAGTGAGTTTAGAAAAGCAGATACATTCTTTTGGTTTTGTTTTTTATTTTTTCAAGAGGGTTTCTCTGTGTAGCCCCGAGTGTCCTAAAACTAATTCTGTAGACCAGGCTGGCCTCTAAACTCAGAGATCCTCCTGCCTCTGCCTCCCAAGTGCTGGAACTAAAGGTGTGCGCCACTACACCCTCCTTAAGACAACAGACAGATTGTAACACTCCTTTAGCCAAAAGTTCTGTGTGAACTTTGAAGAGATCACCCGATGTAAATGTTACAAAAGGCCCAGTCTTGGCAGTGAAATGACCAAGGAGATAACTAAAAACTGCAAGGTCAACAGACAGTGTCTTATCTACATGAATACACAAGGGACCAGGGTGGAGAAAAATTCTTATCTGTGTAGAGATAGGATAGGATTTGAACTTGAAGAAGCTCAACAGTGAGTGAAGGAAACGGGTATAGGAATCAAGTAACTCCATGACACGGCATGTATGTGCAAATTGTCACACATAAACTCAAAGCCACAGTGCTGAGGAGCATGGTGAGGGTGAGAGCAGGGTTGGACTTCAGGGACTTCAGCAGGCAGAATGGGACTGTTCTGTATCAGCGGTTCTCAGCCTGAGGGTCTCCACCCCTTTGGCAAGCCCCTGTCTCCAAAAATACCTACACTTTGATCACAACAGTAGCACAGTTACAGTTATGAAGCAGCAACAAAACTAATTTTATGAGGAACTGAATTACAGGGTCACAGCATTAGGTAGGTTGAGAACTACTGTTCTATATGAATGCCTGTAGCCTGGAAGCAACACTAAGCCTAAATGAATCAAGAGAACCCTGAAGCAAGAGAACCAATACAGATGGAATGAAAAAGAGGTTGCTTAGCAGTGTGTGAATTCCTGATGATAGGGCTAAAATATATGTATGTATGTATAGTTAAATTTTTGAGATTCAAAGACAAATAGGGTTAAAATCCCAGGTCAGAGCTATCAGAGGGGTGTGTTATGGTTAAATATTTACTGTCCCCCGAAGGGAACATTATTCTTTGCTGTTCTTTAATACCAGGATACTTTGATCTTCTTTGATCTACTTTGGCTAATAAAATCAGAGAAGCGATATTTGACTCTGCCAAGTAGAAGTTTTTGAGAGACAGCTTTGCTTCTTCTCTGTGTTCTCTGATAATTGGTGGCCTGTCAGATTCAGCGACTCTTACAGCCTCAGTTTGGGTCCTGGCAAAAGGACAGCTTGGCACAGAGCCAGGGCTGGTTCACGGTAGAAGCACCATTAGTGTAAGAACTAAACCTTTACAATAGCCACGGATTCCTAGGCTTTTTGTGTAGGCAGCACCAGAAGCCCTGCTGCTGTTGACACGGGCATGGCCAGAGTAAGGATACCACACCCCCCAGCCCCAAGCAGAAATGGCAAAGCCCCTGGGGTGTGAGGCTGGGGATGCAGGTGGGGGGAGGGATGACAGGGGCTTCCTTGAGGGTCTGAGTGCAAGTGTTTGTAGTGTGTGCAGAAAATGTCCACCATAGATTTCTCCTCCAGATGTTTATAACCTGAAGACTGAGCCTCTACAGGGACTGCTCCTACGGAGATTGGCTAAACCTGCCTCCTTGATCCAGCTGTGTCCCATAAACCCTGCTCCTTTGTTCGTCTGCTTGTAATCACCTCAGCTCCTTGCTCAATTCTATACAGTAAACCCAATGAGCTTCCCGGGGTGGGGGTGGGGCCGCAGATGCGGTTTTTCCGCCTGAGAGCCCAGTCCACCCAACTCCTAGCATTTCTGTCCTGTGTCTGTGTCTGTTTTTTCTTCATTCCTCATCCCTACCCCCTCAGCCAAGTCAGGCCGAGTTCCTGGAAGGTGTGTGAAGAACTCAGAACTGTTACCAGATTCGAAGCTCAACCTAAGCTGACTGACACTTCCCAGCTCTGGGATCTGACTGGACCATATCAACCTTCAGATTCCTTGCCTATTACACTGTGTTTGTTCCAGAAGCCTGGGTGGCCATTCTCAACAGCATGACCTTCTTATCAGCAGGTCAACCTTGCTGAGAACTTGCACTTGGGCATAAGGCCTTGGGAAGGGGCAGGCTGTCTGGGATGTTGGGGGAAGGATGCAAACGGAATTGAAGCCGAAGCATCCGTGGGTTTACAGGAAGAACACGGAGGCAGCTGTGGCTGCAGCAGGATGAGCAAGGGGGTTGGTGGTGGAAGAGAATGATGGGGGCAGTGGACAGATCAGGCCAAGCCTGTCACAGACTACTGCAGACTGGCTTTCAATGCAAGTGGTACGGATGGGAAGCTTCTAAAGTTTCATTAGGGGAGTAATCTAATTTATCCTTTCAACTGACCAGTCTGGTGTCCGTGTTGAGAGCAGACTGATGAAAGGCCAGGGCAAGAGCTAGGAGAATAAAAGGAAAGTTACTGAAGTGACAGGTGACAGGTGGCCTGGGCTGGCATAGTGGCAGTGGAGAGAAGGCCTATAGTGATTTAAAAGAAAATGGCACCCAAAGGGAGGGGCACTAATTAGGAGGTGTGGTCGTGTTGGAAGAAGTGCCTTTGGAAGAAGGGCTTTGAGGTCTCATACATGCTCAAGATACCTCCCAGTGTCATAGACCACTTCCTGTTTCCCGCAAGATGTAGGACTCTGAGCTACTTCTCCAGCACCATGTCTGCCTGCACGCTGCCGTGTCCCACCATGATGATAATGGGTTGAACCTTTGAAGCTGTAAGCCGCCACCTCAATTAAATGTTTTCTTTGTAAGAGTTGCCATGGTCATGGTGTCTTTTCACAGCAACAGAAACCCCAGCTAAGACAAGGATATATTCTTAATTTATTTTGCAGGTATAAAGCCAACATAATGAGTTCATGGATGTATTGTGGCATGTTAGACAAAGAACCCAGGATAAATTCGTGATATTGACATCAACAACTGGGAAGATGCAGTTGTGAGGGACAAGGACCTCAAGAGAAGCAGCACTGGGTAGAAGTCAGTTCAGTTTTAGTCATGATGATTTCGAAATGCAGCCATCTAAGTGCACCAAGCAAGAGAGGAAGAGGGGTCCAACAGAGTATTCCCTCCCTCCCTTCCTCCCTCCCTCTCTCTCTCCCTCTCCTTGGATCCTGGTCTGTATCAATGGAAAGAACCCATTAGAGAGACAAGCTCAAGTTGCAGGAGACTTAGAATGTTCTGGTGCTGTGGACTTGGGTCTCTGAAAGGAAACAGTCCATTGTACAGGCAGAGTGGCCTTCAGTGAGGCCCCAACACTTAGTTAAGAGAGATGTGCCTGGGCAGGGCTGGTAGGGGAGGGGTGGGGAGGGGAAGGGTGTGACCCGGATGCAGGTGCAGATTAGTTGACAGGAACAGGGTGGGTATAAGGACACTTGTTTCTGCTGATTATCCACCCCACCTTGGGAAGTACAAAGCAGGCTCATCAGCTGAATGATGAGGTGGGGAAAGGGGTTGGGAATGGGAGAAGGGAAGGAAACGGTGTGACCTCGTGGCCCAAGGGAGGAGGAAGGTGATGGTCGGAGGAGGATGAGCGCACAGATCACAGCTCAGTGGCCACGGATAGCAGTGAGATGGCCGGTGCCTCTCTCCGTCACAGGGACACGGGTCCAGCATGGCAAAGCAGGTAGATCTACATAACTCAAGTGTGAGGAAGCTACCCGAAAGAGAGACAAGTGTGGATTGGCTCAGAAGCTGGAAAGGAGATGGAGAGAGATTTGTGTTTCTGAGAAATGAAACAAAGAGGGATTCATTAGTTACCCACTGCCATGTGACAA